CACATATACTCAGACACCAAGTATAAAAAGGAACTACAGTGAAGTAATATTTCAAGTTTAATAATTTGCATAATTTTACAAAAATTAATAAGTAGATAAAAGTCAGTGCTCTCTTTTATTTATATTCTTTTTACAACAAACGATCAAACTAGCCGGACACAAGGTAAGAAATTATATTTCTAAGCATGTCATAAAATTAAGGGTAGACTTAAGATAGATCAAGAATAACTTTTATCGAGGGAATAACAGAATTGTTAAAGGTGGATAATTTGAAAAGTTATTAATAACTACTTTCTCACCATTCGGGTCATAATAGTGCGCGTTCAACATGTTTTAACTAATTACATAAAGAAAATAATTCAGCCATTAAGGCTTGGCGCCCAACAATTGGACAGTAGCATCTTACATGAACACACGCTGTTTCCCATTCATATAGCATGACCAATAAATATTAAGAGTCGTAAAATCCTCCTCCGTAATCATTGCACATTTCATTGTAGAATTAATATGACTCAGGTGTGAATCATCCGAATATAATTTTCCTTCAATTTACTTTTTACGACAAACTAAGCGCAGTGGTAGGATCTTAATAACGGGTTCATGGATATTTATATTGTATGCTATATTTTCACCTTGTAGCTAAACGTACTTCAATAATCCGTTGCCCATAACATCTATATATAACATCTACATTCTATTATTATTCCTCTTAATTATAAAAAATATAAATATCACACATATGGCCGCTTATTTTATTTCCTTCATCATACTTCATTATAATAATTTCTCTTCATTCTTTTTATTATTATAATTAATATCCTTGTCCTATATCTTTTTTTTTATGACAATTCAATTCCCAATAATGATTTCAATTTTTTACTTCTTTTGAGATTTAATTTATAATTTAATTTATGATCAATATAATTTTCAATAAATAAATAATTCCAATAAGCGCGATTTTATTTTTAATAATTTCAATTAAAACAAATAAGAGTATTTTAATTTTTAATAAACAAATAATTCCAATTTTTATATAATAAGAGCAATTTTATTCTTAAAATTTGCTTTAATTAAATTTTTTAATTGATAAAGAAACAATTCTCAACCAATTTTTCATATAAATAATGTAAAAATTGCAATTAAAAAGCTTTTTTTTTTTTTGAGTAATTTTCAAAAAACCCTTAGTAAGATTAACTAAGCCTGTTGTTGGGCGCCACTTTGTTATAATTCAAATATATAAATAAAATCGGTAAAAAGTTGGTAAAATATAAATGATGAAAATGAGCGATGAGTATAGTGAGAACCTGATGTTGTGGTTCTATCGAGGTCGTATGGTTCGAGGGTTTAGAACGACAAAGACAAGTAGATATAAAAATATATTATGTTCCTCTTATAGAGGTAGAATAAACTTTTGTCTGGTTAGTTTCTAATGTCCTAACTAAGAGGCAACGAAACGGCGAAGCCAGTTCACGAATACCTCGGCAACGAGACGGCAGAGCCAGTCCACGAATACCAGAGCCTAATTTATACAGTAGAAATCACGCTAGGTTTTTTAAAACATCTTTAAGGCAACGAAACGGCAGAGCCAGTTCACGAATACCATATAACGTGATTATGTATAATTTCTTTAACCAACCAGTCAAAATTGACACTTTAAGATATTAATTTAATAAATGATCTATTGCTTTGTCATTCTTTACTCAAATTTATTAACTCCAAATAATTGGGATAACATAAAATTACTTACTTCTTTTATTCTTGTAAATTGCTTGTAAAATGATTTGATAATTATCTCGATATGTTTATATATGTTTAAAAGTATTTAATTAGCACTTCGTCAAAAGATAAATAATTAAAGCAAGTTCTTTTCATATATAAATAAAATGCATAAAAGTCAGCCGACAACAACACAGGGCTGTGACTGATAATTATTACTATTTATTCTTTTTTTAATTCGAAGAAAACGAACTCTTTTGGTCGCTGTCACTTCTTCTTTTTTTTCGTCTCTCTTGAGTCTTTCCCTGACTCTCTCTGACTGAAAGGATTTCAGTGTTTTTTATAGTAAAATGATATTACCCCCAATCCAGGGATATTGTTGTCAGCGCTTTTAGTAATCTTTTTTTGTTTATTGTATTAATTATACATTACAGGATTATTATATTCAGATAACATATTTAACAATTGATAAATTGACATATATATATAAATAATAAGAAATTGTGTTGAACATCGTATTTGTTATGACAGATAAATTATTTGTTTGTTTACAAGTTATTTAAAATACAGATTATACATTTTTCATTAATAATTAGAAGATGCGTAATGCAAAGCATTGAGCATATTACTACAACTGCCTAACTAATTATGCAAAAAATGATCCACTTAGGCGTTTTATGTCTAATGAGACAATGTTGACCCTAATTTTTCATTTTAATTTTTGTATTTAATTTTTCTTTATGTTTAATAATTAATTTCACTTTCATTTTGTATTTCTATCTTTGCGTTTAATAATTAATTTACATATTTTTAGTATATATCTTTGTCTATGTTACTTTTACCTAATTTATATACTTGTATTATTTGTAAAAAGGGCTTCTGTCCGTGAAATTATAAAATAAAATAAACGTTCACAGAATGTTAAGAAAAATTCTATCATCATCGCCGAGCTCTATCATTTAAAAACACTATTGAGAGTTGGAAATCATTTAGTAATTTTCAAGCATTGTCATATTTTTCAATATTTTATTATATATTAAATTTAAATAAAATTTTACTATAAATAACTTTATAAATAAATTTAACATTTAGTGTCGGTTGAATGCCATTAAAATATGTTTTTGAAGTACTATAATAATAAAAAATAATAGAAGCTATGAATCAAATCAATTAAATAACATATTTTCCGGGAATAAAAATAGATTCACTTATTTAAAAGCAATCAGACATTTTTAATTTTATTTTACTGTTATATTCTATAATTTTAAAACTTAAATTGTACATAGACTATTGAAATCCAACACCAAATAATTCATAAAATGGTATGTGCTAATTCTGCATAACTTCATAATATAAATTTTATGTAAAAATTAAATAATTTTTTTTTCAGAATTCACTTACTTTATGTATGATTGTGTTAATATTAGCTGTTGATTTATCCTTAGCAACGTCTAGTAATAAAAATATATAATCTTATTTTTTTATAGTCATAGAATTTGGAAGTACATCCATATATTTATAAGAACTGATAAAATAAAATAAAATATATCTATAGTACAGATCACTATTTTAAGCGAGAGTAATAGTATATATATATACAGAGGGATTTTTTTATCATAACCCATTCAATTACTTGCAGAATATATATAATTTAAACATTTTTTTTTTAGTTTTCTTTAGTTACACATTATTTTTAAATTATTAACTATATAAAATTTTTTATGTTCATCCCTTATGCCTTGTAAGGATGTCAACTTAATTTTTTTTAATTGGAACACATATTTTGAATTTAATAAAATTTTTGAATTTTTAATATAACTTTTATTCTTTTATTAGATATAAATATTTAAAGTTTCAAATTTTTGAGTTAATATACTTGTATAATACATTAGGGATTACAAATACAGGTAGCTAATTGGTTTTTATGACATCGATATACGCAGGTACACAGCATTGTATTATCAATGGTAGTAAGGAACATTGTTGTGAGTTTATAAATATACTTACTGAATAAGTAATTATAGTTGTAAGAACTAACTGACAATACAAAAAGTATATCTATTGATGGTCATAATTGAAAATAAACAATCCGTGACTGTGACAGAAATGTCATAAAAAACCAATTAGCTACCTGTATCTATAAACCCTAGTATATTATACATGTATATTAACTCAAAAATTTGAAACTTTAAATGTTTATATCCAATAAACTAATAAAGTTATATTAAAAATTCAAATTCCGTTTACTATTGAATTAAAAATCTAAACATTTTATTAAATTTAAAATATGTTTTCCCATTTAAAAAAACAAAGTTTACATCCTTACAAGGCATAAGAGATGAACATAAAAAGTTTTATATAGTTAATAACTTAAGAATAATGCGTAACTAAAGAAAACTAAAAAAAAAAAATGTTTAAATTATATACATTCTGCAAGTAATTGAATAAAAAAATCATCTTGTATATGCACACACAAAAAAAAAAATTACGGCAAAATAAAATCTATTGCTTGTCGGCTACGCATCGAAACTAATAAATTATACTTTTTTTTATTTTTGGTCTTTATTTTAAATTATTAATAAATTCTGAAACACTAGTTCAAAGTTATTATCAGATTAGTTAATTTCACAATCCAAGAGTATAAAACATATATTTTAATATGAACAAACATTTTAAGTATATTCGTAAGCAATAGATGTATCACTAGCAAATTAAAAAAGATTTAATTTTAATAAATCTTCTAATTCCAAGCAATTTTTATCCTGTGTTTTCTATTTCATAATTTTTTTATGCATAAATGAATTTTAGAAAATAATATCTTTTTTATGTCTATTGACAACCTATAAAAAATGAAAAACTTTATAAAAATTTTGAATTGATTAAATTTAATTGTTTTCAGATAATAGCAACATTACAACAGGTACAATTCTATTATAATTTTAATTAAATTACATTAATTAATTATACGATATGAATTTTTTACCAAACTGGGTGTATATGCTCTTATTTTCATGTCTTTAATTAAATTTTAAATGTATTTTGAAGAAATTTGAATTTATATAAAACTGCTTAAATATGAACTTGATTTAGGTAAAAATCTATTTAGTATTAAATTAGCAATTACCTGACAATTGATGTTATTATGGTCTTTAATTAATTGATTTTAATTAAAAATGATTATACGATTACTTAATTATAAAATTTAATATTTTATAACTTTTGATATTTATTTAAAAGAAAAAAGTTTAAATTAAGTTTCATTTATTCAGTGTAATTTTAATTGAGGTTTATATTTTCCTCTGATTATAATAGATGTTATATTAAGTAAGTATAATCTAAATAATTATTTCTTAAAAAATGTATTATATTTATAGGTTTTTTCTTATTTAAATTAATATTTTATAGAATGTGCTAATTGTGGACAAAATTTCTCATTATATAAATCTTTGTGTAATCACATATTTTGTTATACCTGTTCACGTCGTTATGCGTTTTGTAAGACGTGTAATGAAGATTTCACAGTTGGTAATATTATTGATAATATTAAATATGAGATCTAAACTTACCTATAACATTTATAATTTATTCTGTTAATTGAAATAAAACAAGATTCTCTATTATATGTTTAAGAGCTTTAAGAATATTAATTCACTATAAGCAATAAGACACTTGGTCTATCGCTTATATTTAGTGTAGTTTATAATGTTTCTATGTGTTATTATAACGATAAGTCAAGTCATTATAATCTTCGAAGGAGGATTCATGAACTTTATCCTCTCTAATATATTTAATTTATTATGTAATTGTTCAGATAAAATGAACTTTTCAGGTTTTTTTTTCAAGAAAGTTATTACTTTCTATAAAATTTCTATAAACATAACTTTCTTCTAAAAGTAAAAAACTTACAAGTAAAGATAAATATATTTCCATTTCATGCACTTACTCATTTTCCAAAAATTCACTTTAACCATCTATTTCTTTCTTATAGCAAGCCTCAATTACAATCTCTCCCAATTAATCCTGTCAATTATCTTTTTGATGAACTCATTTCCTCTCGTTTTGCTAACTACTGCCTCATTTTCACTGACGGCTCAGTTTATACTAATTCCGCCGGTTTTTCCTTTTTTATTCCTAGTCTAAACATTAATTTCTCAGATAATCTCCCCTCAAAAGCTTGTTCATTTACCACCGAATCTTATGCGATATCCTCGGCTCTCGAATTCGTCAAATCACTCAATATAATAAATGTTCTGATTGTCTCCGATTCACTGTCAGTTTTATCATCTCTTTCCTCAGTTTCTTTTAAAAAAAGTAGATCCTTCCTCACAATCAAAATTAAAGCCTTAATTTATAGTCTCTATTTAATGGACATTAATGTTGAATTTTTATGGTGCCCCCGTCATGTCGGAATATCTGGCAATGAGATAGCAGACCATCTAGCCAAACTGACTAACTCCTTCAACCGACCACCTATACTAAAAATTCCCTCTTCCGATCTCCTTTCCTCTTTTCATACAACTATTAATGAAGCATGGCAAAATAAATGGTCTAATTTTTCTTTAGCTAACTGGCATAAATCTATAGTTCCAACTATATTACTTTATAATATTACCTCTTTTTCCCGTCTTAGATTTGGTCATAATCGGTTACCTAGTCATGCCTCTAACATGTCACTAAACCATTCCCCCTTCTGCCCTAAACACAATGATGAAGTCCCCTGTAATTTTCCTCATTTACTATTTGATTGCCCAGCTTTACAACATAACCGTTCACTCTTGTTCAATTTCCTGTCCTCACTTAATATTTCGCCCATTAATAGTTTTAATATCCTTAATACAAAATCCTCCTCAATTATTATATATATAATTTCCTTTGTTCATTCAGCTGGCTTCGTTATATAATATTTTTCTGTGTGTTAATTTAATATCCTAGGTCTAAATTGTTTTGTTCTTTTTTTTTTTTTTAGTATTTTGAGTATGTTTAATTTATTAATCTAACGATCTGTTTAATTGTGTTTAATAACAAAAAAAAATTTTTTTTTTCTCTTCTGTATAGTCTTAGTTCTATTGTATAATCTTAGTTTATATTGTATAATTTTATTTTAATCGTTTAGCTATAATAATACTTCTGTATTGAAAGCTTTTTAAAAAAAAAAAAAAAAAAAAAAAGATAAATATAATATTGTTTAAGTGGTTCATAATAACAAATGTTCAGTGTAACTTTAATTCAGGTTTATATTTGGTTTTGATATAGTTAACGATTTAAAAAGTTTAAACTAAGTTTCATTTGTTCAGTGTAATTTTAATTCAGGTTTATATTTTCCTCTGATTATAGAAGAAGTTATGTTAAGTAAGTATAATCTAAATAATTATTTCTTATAAAAATATATAAAATTAATCGGTATTGTCTTATTTAAATAACTAAAAAACTAAGTTAAAAATTATTTTTCAAAAGTTAAAATTGTTATTATATAATAAATTGTTCTAAAATAAAAAAATATTATTATACCATATATTATATGAATTCACTATTTAAAGGTTGTTTAAAATGTAATATGCCCGTTAATCTAATAATGCGTTCCGATAAAATATACTGTATGAGCTGTAAAAATAAAGGTAATACATATTATGTTACGTATTCAATATGTAAGGAAACGGGTTTCTATTTTTCTCGTTGTTTGTAACAATTAACCTGTTTCTTTACATACTGAACACTCTGTTTATTTAAATTAGTTAAAATAAAATATAATATTTATAAACTTGTCTTCGTATTAATATTGTAGATATATAATACATAAATATATTAAATACCTATATTATAGGAGTAGTCAACGATATTGTTTTAGCTGTCGATATCGTTAAATTATCAAATGTTTAAATATTTGATTGTGATATTGAAATATATCAATACCGTGATAAAACAATTATTGAACATTTTCGTTAGATAGTTATTAAAAGTATTAGCGCCGCATTACAGGAATGTTGACACGATTTACGTCGCAATAATTTAGTCGACAATGGTTTTAAGGGTTACCCGTGGGCCGTTAATTAATAAGCAACAACAGGTTATTTAAAAAACAGACAAACCAAATAGACGAACACGGTTAATAATAACCTTCATATAATATCGTGGCACTTTCGCTGGCGTCGGCGGTGTGGTGTCCGGTATGATACTCGGGCGTCAAAAAGTTAGCAGCGTTGAAGGGACGGTGAGGATCGGTTTGTCGAGTCGGTCGTGCGACACGTTTGGAGCCGGTAGCGTACATCCTCGATGTTGTCACTTTGACAACAGTAAGAAGACTCAACGTATCATTTGTGGCGGGTCGTCGTTGGCCGTGCGACACTTGCTGGACATTGCACCGTGGCGTATGGAATGCAGTGTTGACCAATAAAGTACTCATAGTAGAACGACGGCTGATAAAGGTGACACGGAGTAGCGGGTCATCGTGTATCACTAAGTGACGCGGGGCCGTGTCAATGTCTAAATACAGGAATGAACAGTCATGTTGAAAAATATCCATATATAATATATATTAAAGATAAATTTCTTTTTTTGATTTAAATCAATATTGATAAAAAATTTTACCAAAAAAAAAAAAACGAAATTATATTCTGTAATTGATCCCAACTGTTTTATATTATATTAATAGGCAAACATATTTATTCAATAATGAATAATTTTCGATAATTCGTATAATACAACATAATATCGATAATCAGGGTTAAAACAAAAGTATTTATAAAGTTTGTTTTAGTCATTAAGATTAAATTATTGATAAATAGATATTCGTGCTTATTTTTCTTATATAATGATTATTAATAAGGAACTTAGCTGTGGGGATCACACAACTAACAAAATATATTTCTGTAGTACAGTATAACCTGTAGTAAATTTTCATTAAGTTAACGGTCTTGTGAGAGACTTAAAAAAAATTTAAAATTCTTTCTATAATATGCTATTTTTATGTTAAAATTCTCGATTTAATTTTAATTTTAATATTACAATACATTTCAAAAGCTATAATTAAATATAAGTTAAAAATTATCAAATGTTCCTGAACACTTCTATAAATTGAGTTGAAAAAAATGTAATTGTATGCGTGGATTGTCTTTATCAAACGATTCATGTACGTAAGTTGTTCATTGAATTATCATAAAAAGTATACCAAAAGAAAGTTTACTGTCTCTAGTATAATCTGCTAAAATTTCATTAGGATCAGTGACCATTTTCAAAATGCAGAAATTTTTTTTTCTAATTTTATTTTACGTTACCTTATTTTTTAGGATATTTAATTTTGGGATATTTTTGATAGAAATTATTGACATTTTTTAAATTATTGGTGTTTCATGCTTCAACTATATTAAAATCGGGTTCTTTTGATGCATAAACCAAAATAAATAGTGAGAACTGAGGATTTTCATGGACAAACATAAAAATAAAAACAAAAACAAAACATGACTAAACCAATACTTTCTCAGCTTTGTATCAAAGCTAAAATTACATATGATATAGATTGTAAATATATATACAGGATAATAGACTTAACTATGTCTCACGTAATATCTTTAATAATACAAGTGTTATAAACAAATGTTTTTTAATCATTATAGATCTTTGATGAGCTGTTTCACAAGAAAAATGAAATTTCTATCATCATCCTTTATACGTAGAACTTGTATCAACTTCAGATTTTCAAAAGGCAACCCATATTATTTTTATATATTTTTGTTAGTCATAAAAAAAAAAATATTTAACAAAAAAAGAAAACTTTAAATTATGAATTTTAAATAAGATACACTACTTTAAAATTTACGATATTTGATGAAAAAATTCAGTAGTTTTTCCAACACGGTCACATTATTATTTTATGTAGCGATTAGAGCTACCGGTTTACTGTGTCAACGCACGTAGTCAGAATAACGCTTATCTATTTACGACCTATAACGTTGGAGTCTGTTGTAATTTTTTCTTGATAAACCCTAAAATTTAGAGAGCCGTTTAAATTTTCTTGTGAAACATCTTATCAAAGATCCATAATGATTAAAAAAAAAATTGTTTATTACACTTGTATTTTTTATGATATTACATGAGACATAGGTAGCCAATCATCCTATACATATACATATATATATATATTTTTTTTTTATTAAATAAAAATATAGCTAAAATTAATTTTAAAACGTATAATAAATGTATAAATAATTGTATGCGTATTCCTAGGTTTGATTCCACAAGAGACTGCAGCTTCGTCATCCGGACAAAGTATGTTACCACTTAATGAAAAATATATAATAAACAACATGTGATTTATTAAGAATACTACTCATAATTCTTTCGTTAAATAATGATTTTTTGATAAAAATATATAGATTAAAATTGTATTTATTTTTATGAGCCATAGGAAATATCACACTGTGAGAAATGATCCGAACATTCCCATACACCAGTGTGATAATTTTAATATATTCACGTTATTTTTACGAACAAATAGTGAAATTTCGACCGAAAGTTTCGAAAATCTGTGCACAAATATAAGATTTTTATCACTATTTATCAAATGCTTTTTACTATTAAATGATGTGAATATATTGAATAAAATTTTGACTAGTCAATTACCAATTATGTAATATTACTTTTTAAGTTAATATAATATTTATGTAAAAGTGAGAGAGGTGTGCAACATAAAAGTATTCTTATCTGTGCTTTATGTTAAAAATATAGTATAGTGATGAAAAATAAAATACAAAAATAAATAAAAGTTTAGATTTTGGAATTAATATGTCTATCCCTTAATAGCTAAGTGTCATTGGGGTTTTCGATAGTCACAGTGATTTAATACGTATAAATAGATATCTTTTTCTATCTGTTTTGATTCGAAGGTCCAAAAACAATAAGATATTAAATTAATTATTAACATAAGACATATCATGCATTTCGACTGATTTAATGTATTGTAAAATGTTACTATTAAGTTCTATTCTACTCTAAACAATAATCATAATAATTGGCCTTTTGACTTTATGTAGTTGTTAGACCACAAATCTTGTTTTTAGTAATCTAATATCGCACTTCCTGTTGATACTGTTTTATAACTATCATTGTATTGGATATTACACAGTAATCATAACTTAACTATTACACAAAAACATGTCGTATTTTTATGATATTGTTAATTAGTCTGGCACATGACACAGAAATTTGAACGTCGTAACCTCATACAATGTGTATCTAAATTACTTAAGTATTTTAAAAATAAGACACCTAGATATTACAACAAGAGCATCGTCAAATACTTCCCTGCTCCTCAATTTTTCTAAATCATTAAATGCTAATATACAAAAAGTAATATTACAAAATTGGTTATCGACCAGACAAAATTTTATTTAGCGCATTCTCAATTTAAAATTAAAAAATAACTGTTTTCCATTTAACTTTCAACATTTTCCCCTAAAATTTACTATATCAAATAATTTTTTCTTATAATAAACCCGATATTTATTATGGTCCATAAAAATCAATAAAATTTGAATTTATACATTTTTATGACAAAACCCTTTTTAACGAAAAAGTGGGATATATTAATAATTCGAGTCATAGTGGTATTAAATTGATATCAATTTTATTAATATTTTTTTTGTGGTTGTCAATTGTGATATTGTATATAAACCCACCGTAAAAGAATTTTGAACAATCAATTCGTGACTGAAATGGTTATGCTTAATAAGTCATTATGTACAGTTGTGGCTATTTAAGATATCTAAAAAATGTTATTAATCGTGAATATTACAATAAAAATGTATTTTATTGTTTTTTTATATGGAAATATTAATATCTCAAATACCATAATTTATGAATTTTGGAAAATATTCCGATATAATTAAAGCATTGTTTTTGATATATGAGAAATAAAATTTTACCCCATTTAAAAGATACCGAATTTAAATTGAACAATCAATATCTATTTAATTTTGTTTATTAAGAAACAGAAGTATTTTGTATGTTTATATTCCAGCTAAATTCTCAGTTGACACTTTAAAAAACATAAAAATAATAAAAATATATCAGCTATGAAAATTTAGATACTAAAAATATACAATTTAAATAAAATACAATACACTGTTGACAGTAATAGATTTTATACTTATTAATATAACATATATGAAATTTCTGTTAATTAACAAAAACAGTTTTATGATAATTTTTATTTTTATTTTCATACTAGATAATGTCACTAGCAGTCAAAATAATGAAAGCGGCAGAACAAATAATATAAGTTTCACGCTTGATAGTAAAGGAAGACCATTGTATGCAAAGAATTTAAAATTATTTCCGTGTTACGTGCTAATATTAAATTTTTTTTACAGTTACGAGTTTTTTTAAATAAATAATGATTTGTCATGGAAATATTTGAAAGCGAATTATATGAGTACTCAATCAGAAAACCTTAACATCTAACTAAAAGTTCGATACAATTCATGTGATAAATTGCATAATTTCATATTATAAATATAAGTTGCTAAATATAATTTGAATTTTCAATGATTACCAGTGTTGAGCCAAGTTAACCAAAATAAAATCCTGCTAAAATGGTTATTGTCAATGGTATAGAATGTGTAATATGTTTCATAGTAATTTGTTTTAGTTTCAACAAGTACAGTTGTAAGGAAAAAATGAATCTAGTGTATATTGTTCAAGCTTATTTATAAATATATACTAATAAGGTTGGGTACATTATTTACGCCTTTTTAATTATAATGTCCACCAATACAATACTCTAAACTTAAAATAAATTCATTTTAAATAAAGATATAACTAAGTAAAATTAAAACTATATTAAAAATATTATTAATTTAAAAAACTAAAAAATATTAAACTTAAAGCCACAAAAAAATTAATGAAAATTCGCGGATACGTATTTCGGAAACAATGTTACCATTATCAACGCTAAACACATACTGCAGAACATACTGAGTATGTGTTTAGCGTTGATATTGGCAGAGGCGGAACTACATATGTGTAAAGGCGGGATTTTCCGCGGGCCTCGTTGTTAAAGGGGCCTCATAGCGAAATTTTTAATTATTTATGTTATTTAATAAAAAAATTAGTTTATTATATTAATCATAGAAATATTAGATGCAATGCATTTTGTAACATTTCAAGTAAACAAAAACATGAGATATTGAAATATTATTATTCTAATATTCACCACGAAAACGAACCGATAAGGGTATAGACTATAGTATATTTTTAAATTATTTTTAATATATTATTCGGTAACAGAGAAAATGAACGTCTTAGACGTCATTTGCAGTACTTAGGTAAATACTAAAATTAAACTATTTGATATTAAAAAAACTAATGACTGAATATTTTTTTTTACTTACTTACCGACAAGGTATAACATGTAATTATTTAAGTTTAAGCATAGAATTAGTAGGTATAAAATAATATCGTTATTTGTTTTTAATTTAATCTAATACATCATAAAACATTATAAAGTAGACTTAAGATTTAATCTAAAGAACTGATGTTATTATTGTCTATGTAATTTTTAATTTTTTAACCCGTCGTTGGTAAACTTATGTTACGGATCATGATTGCTAAACTGTGAACACCGCGCTCACACGTTACTTTTTCCTATATTATTAATTACTCGATCAACTCAAAAAATTGAATCATACATAGAAAAGTATCATTTTGCTCACTACTATTGGTAAAATATTTTTTGTAAAATTCTAGTATTTTTATTATTTATGCGACTGGTATTGTGAGTACCAGGCGCAGGTTCAGAAACGTCACTGTCCGAATTCATTTTCAAAAAATTGGACGGGGTCAACACTTGGGTTGACATAAGTCTTCTAAAAACTGTTCTACAGTCTCCTCCGACAAAGATTAAACATTATTGGCCATTATTTTGAAAAAAAATAAACGTATAAGCAATTAAAATAATATGAAATTGATAAACTGTGAAAGCAACGCTCACTTTATCGGTACAGTCAACTTTGCACACTGAAAACATGAGGAAATACAGATAGCGGCTTTTTTTTTTGTAATTATTGGTAAGCTTTTATTTGAAGGTAATAAGAAAATCAAGCAAAATAACAAACATTTATGTGACTGACGTTTAAAATGCTATTTGTGTGAGCGCGGCGCTCACATGTTTACCAATGACGGGTTAATTATTTTCAACATAATATTTGAAATTTCAATATTAAATTTATACTTATATTTCATTTAAAATTCTAATTGCTTAAACAAATAATATTAATAATAATGTTATAAAATATAGAAAGAAAACGTATTGTTCTTGTGTTATAATTTTAGTGTACAACTTGACTTTGAGAATCTCATTTTATAATGAATGGTCCGAATAAAAAAAGATTTGAAAGTGAAGCGAGTAAACGAAAACGTAAAGCAGAAGAGAAGCAAAAGATTAAATTGTTGCCGTCTTTTTCAAAGTACTTTATCAAAAATTCGGAAATTGAACAATCTTTTTCTACAAACTCTTTTTGAGCCAATAGACTGTCAAATAAAAACGCAAGACGCTTCTGAATCTGAATATTGGACCGTAGTTTTGACACGTATAATAGATATATCGATTACATTAGGTGGCCAAAATTTGTCTTTCAGAGGCCATAGAGAAGATGCTAACTTCAAAAATAATGGAAATTTTATGGCTTTAATAAGACTTTTAGCCAAATATGATCCAATATTAGCAACACTTCTAGAGAAGCCAAAGGGAAGCATAAAATATCTTAGCCACCAAATTCAAAATCAAATAATTGCATTAATAGAAAGTTAAATAAAGAAAAATATAATATCTGATGTACCTCCGCGCCATTTTTTTCCTTAATTCTAGATTCAACATAAGATATAAGCAAGGTTGTTCAAGTTTCTACGATATATCGGTATGTACATATAGAAAAAGATGAACTTGGAATTCCTAAAAGTATTGAAATAAAAGAAGATTTCATTGGTTTTTCTGAAGAAGAAGGAAGTACAGGTGAAGCAATAAAAAAACAAACAGTTAAAACATTTAAAAATAATGGTCTTGATTTTGGTAAATTTAGAGGAATTGGATTAGACGGAGCAGCAAGTATGATGGGTAAACATAATGGTTTGCAGGCTCGACTTCGGAAACGACAGAAAAAAGCAAAATATGTCCATTGTGCATTGCATAATTTAAATTTGGTGGTAAACGATTCTGTTATTGCGGAAATCAGACAATTTTTTGAGATGTTAAAAACTCTATATACTTTTTTGGGAAACAGTATACACTTCGATGTGCAAAATTGAAAAAAGAAAGCTGTGAAATAGATCACTCAAAAGGCTGTGCCCAACACAATGGTCGTCTAGAATTGATTGTTTGATATCACTCAACCATATGTACCCAGATGTTATGAAAGTTTTAAACAACATTACGTTGACCGGGCGTAATAAGGATGAACAAAACAATGCCTCCACACTCAAAACATATTTCGAAAGTTATGAAAGAATTATTTTAATTCTATTGATGTATAAAATATTGTCAAAAATTAATTTAGGATCTAAAATACTTCAATCACTTGGAGTTGATATTGGCAAAGCTGTTGACTTGATAAAAAGCACATTGGAAAATCCGCGATAACTTTAATATTTTATTGGAAGAAGCTAATTCTAAAGCATTACGATGGAATGTAACGCCCGAGTTTTCTTGTATACGAATGAGAAAAGTAAAAAAAAATTATGGTGAGCTATGTCAAGATAAACGTCTTTCAGCAGGAAACCATTATTTTAAAACTCAAGTTTTATATCTATGTATTGATACTGTTGTTACAAAATTGAAAACAAGATTTGTAGGCCTTAGTGAAATAAGTGATTTATTTAGTTGTATTTTACGACCAACTGTAATATCTAATGAAGAGATCGGTAAGAGTGCAAAAAAGTTGGCAGAGGCATTTGAGGACTTTAATCCAGCAGAACTTACAACACAAATCGAATCATTTAAATTTCTGTTTGCTTCTGAGCTTAAATCTTGTCGCAGCGTTTTTGATATGACTAAATAACTAATAATTGATAATAATAATTTAATTACTAGTTTCCCAGATTGTTAACAGCATTTTATTTGTTCCTTACATTACCGGTTACTGTGGCAAGCGCAGAGAGGACATACTCATAACTTAAATTAATAAATAATTATCTCAGGAGCACAATGTGCCAAACACGGCTCAGTGGCCTAGCAATAATTTCAATTGAAAATGAGCGGGCTAAAAAATTGAATTTGTCGTCATTAGTTAAGTTATTTTCTCAAGACCATAGCAGAAAAAAAAATTTTCAAGTATAAGTATATTCATATTTGTAATTTTTTAATTCAATTTATAATTCAATAAGTTCTTAATAAACTATACAGTATACATAATTTAATGTAATTTAATTACATAATTTTATACACATTTTTAATGTGTATAAACTAAAATCCCTATGTCAGCTGAATTTGGTTACAGATATAATAGGGCCTTCGAAAAATTGTATTCACGGGCCTCAGTGAACGTAGTTCCGCCACTGGATAATGGTAACATTGTTTCCGAAATACGTATCCGCGATTTTTCATTAATTTTTTTGTGGCTTTGAGTTTAATATTTTTAATATTTTTTAGTTTTTTTAATTAATAATATTTTTAATATAGTTTTAATTTTACTTAATTAATTAGCCACAAGTGATCAATTTTTATTATAAAGATATAACTCATGACTAGGTACGCAGTACACATAAACTTAAAAAGATATTCTGAATTAATATGCCTAATCCTATAAACATCTAGTTTCAACGTTTAATTTTATCTGCTGATGCGAAATCCCTTTGAACTATATATTTTGAGTATAGCTATGACTAACTAACTAGTATATAATGTGTATAGTGTGTATACAAGGTGGGTCCGCAATTTAGTGACTATTATAATAACTTTTGATCTAGTCAATATTTAGCATTATTTTTTTTTAATAACTGTTATACCTTGGAGTATAATCATTTTACAATGAGTATTAGTTGTTTTAATCATAATAAAAATATTTTGTCCCTAAGACTTTTTTTTTTTATATCATCCTATATGGTGAACATTATTTTAGATGATTTATCAATATTTTATCCACAAATAAGTTTTATTTATTTTTACTGTTATCTAATATCCTTATAAGAAATAAATATAGTTTTTATTTTATGTATGTTTTAAATATTATTATGCCCTTCGTTTCTGGACAGCCTCAATGTGCCGAAAAGAATGAAGAAGCGTAATTTGCTATTATAATTAATAAGTCGTAGTAGTAATACATTTGTCTGTTTACTCGTCAGTCATAAGGGACTATGCCAATTACCTTCCGGTAACGTGCAGGCAGTTGAGGTACAGAGTAGTACTAAATTTATAAAGAGAATATTATTGAAGTGCGCTATATCCGTCGACAAGCAAGTTCTAGAGCTAGTAGTCCGAGTAGAGTTTATTATAAAATATATAGTTCGTAAGGTAGGAAACTACATCTTGGAAATATCCTCTCGGTAACGTGTAGGCAGTT